TGACGGATGAGTGATGTGGAAAAGGAAATCAATGGAAATTTTAAGTTTGTGCCTAAGATAATTCGGCAAAAAGATATTTAGTATTTAAATATTAAAAGATTAAATCGAAAAATGTTTTATTTTTCGTAAGAACACTTAAAACTATCATGATAGGTATTAATTTGTTATGTGAAGTGCTGGACGAATTGAAGTTGGTAGCTGTCTACAAAATTCTATACAATTCAACATAAAACCAGTAGAAAAGACGGAACAAGCTGGCTGGACAAAATTACTTTTTCACAGAATAGTATTGTATGGAGTAAGGGGGAGGGCGGATTTTCCTAATCTCTCAGATATTGATAATTGTCCAAAATGCTTTATTACTCGATAATGCATTTCCATGGAAGGGGGGGGGGGGAAAGATCCCCCTGAACCCAATATTGGACAATTTGCTGCATTTTACTTATCGCACATCTAGATCTAAAGTGCGATCAACACCAAAAAAATTAGGACGATTTTTTTGCATAAATAAATTCATTGGACTTACCTCGAATTAATGCAAATGTTTTTTTCTTCATGATTATTAACAATATAAAATTATTATATTATATTGTATGGATTATATAAAAAACTACTGTTATACCTGTATTAGTATTAATTGCTTTGAATTTGTACGATCCACAAGCAATTATATTTCCGAATCTGATTTTTGAGTTAGCTCACTTTAGATCTAGTTGTGCAATATAATATACTATATATTATGTACTATGCTATTGTCTTAAACCTTTCTATTACCTATTCTATTTTATATTTCTTTTTTATATTTCTATTGCCTTAAACCTATTACGCTAGAGAGACTGATAGACCTATAGATAAGAAAGCATGCTTATTGCCAGGAAGGTCGGTGGATACCGCGCTGCACACATCAGTTAGGTGGCTAGGGGAAGCCTTCACGCCTGGAGATTATGTAGTAGGGGCCTTCCTCGATATCAAGGAGGCCTTCAACAATGTCACTCCAGTGGCAATAGTCAGGTCTATTCTTAATTTGGGCGTTGAAACCAAGGCTTATATACAGCTTACTTCAGCGCAGGGTCAATAAGGGCACTCCGCAAGATGGTGTTATCTCTCCCCTGCTCTGAATTGCGGTTGTAAACGACCTTCTAGAGGAACTGAAAAAGTGGGCATCCGGGTGATCGCCAATGTAGATGATGTGTGTGGGACTCTGGTTAAGAGAAGATTTCTTAGACACCACTTTCGATCTGGATCAAAGTTACCTGGAACAGGTAACTAGCTAGGCGGTCATCGGCGGCCTCACAGAAATTCCCAGCAATATGGAACCAGCCTTGTTTACCAGGAAGAACAAGATATCCCTTGTGTCTCTTCCCTCAAGTGCGGGTGCTCGTCTGAGGCTCCCAGGCAGGTCTCTCGCCAAATTCATTAGCTCTAAAACCAGATTTAAGTCTATCTTGTTTCACGAAGCCCTTGCCTGGTGGACTTCACTATAGAAGGCTACACTTTTAAATTAACTGGAGCGTTTACAGCCGATCGCCCCAAATCGGAATTAGTGGAACATTAGAAACCACACCTACACTGGTGCTTAACGTCATATTCAACACGGCGCTCAGGGCTCAGGGAAAACGGGTTGTAACTCTCTGCAGTTCTGGAGGGCTTTGACTTCGCCAGAACACATGGATTAGAGCGCCTCCGAAATGGCTCCCAGAAGCTCCTTCCCTCAAGAGAAGACTGGGTAGGGAGGGGTTACTCGAAGAAGGGAGCGGTAAACTTCTGCACGGACGGATCAAAACTTGTACACTGGGTTGGTGGAGGTGTCTTCTGTCGGAAACTCTCCACCAAAACTATGATCAGGCTTCCGCACTTCTGCAGTGCTTTTTAGGTGAAAAAAAACTGCCATCAAGGCAGCGGAAGACTCACTGCTAAAAGGTGTGATGGTGCACTCGTAATCGGTAAAGGAATGTCAATTACGTCGGAGTACTTCCTAATAAGTTTAGGTGCCGAGTCATAGTGGCGTCGCGGGAAATCGCGTGGCTGATGACCTGATGTTGGTAAAGCACCCTTTAAACGTTATCCCCAGATAAGGAGCAACTAGGGACGCCTCTGTCCTGCGGCACGCTCTAGCGCTAGACTAACACGCATACTTCTCGCGATAATGAAATCACTAAAAAAGAAAATTGTGTAGATTTCCTAGCTAAAAGGTAGGTTACTGATTTCGTACCTTATTACTCGCGAAATTACATGCCCGATTATTCAACGAATAGCTTGTTTAAATTTCGAACTTTTTAGAGTATAATATGGCTGCTGTGGTGTGCGTAAATTTACTACGAAAGTGTGTACAAGCTACAAAATACACATCTGCTGTTTGATTTCACGTGTATAATTGTGGAAAGCCGCTAACAGAAAGGATTTTTACACCCGAAAATGTGTAAACGAGAGAAATACATATTCATCGTGTAAATTTACCAAAAAATTTTTAAAATAAACAAAAATATACTCGATTCATAATCGCATTTTCAAACAGATTTTTTAGAGTGTTGCATTCTCAACTAAATACCTAATAAAATGGGCAAAAGAAAGCCATGCTCCTTTTGTGACACAAAAAGGAAAAGAGGACGTTTCTTTGCTGGACAAAATGTTTTTGTAGGGCACTTTAAAATACTCTTTACAGCGCCAATCATGCCCTTAAAGGTGACAAGCCATTGTGCGATTGGTATTCACGCTGTAAGACTAGGAATCTCAACTGATTCCTGTCAAGGGAAAGATGTGGTCGAACCATCTCCACACTTTCTTTTAGACTGCCTAACCTTCGCGGGGCTAAGATGGAAGCATTTTGGCTCGTATTTCTTAACTAACACTGAGCTATCAGGGATGGAAATCAGCCGCATTTGAAATTTTTTAATTGGCTCGCGGCGTTTCGCCGACTAAATTAATGGTCTCCGTCCAGTTTTTTCGTGGTATCACATAGGACCATCTCTTAACAGTCCAAGTGTGTCTCTTGCCTGGGATCACCACTTTAACCTAACCTGTACTTCTTTGGGCTATGAAATAGTTGTTCACATTAGTTATGACCTCATTTTCATCGATTTTCCCCGACACCAGTGTTCCAAGCGCACCTAATTTTTTTCAACTAAGGGACGGTAAAAAAGCTACCCACGGCAAAATTTCTTTATAAGTAATTTCCGTTTTTGTACGATAAATTTTTTTATTCTAAAGTCGTACAAATGTTACGACCGACACTATGGAACACCAATTTATAGTTAACGTAAAATAGAATTTTTTTTTGCCTTTGACGCAAAGTTTTATTCATTGATACACATTTTTTATTTCAAGCATAAAAGCGCACCAAAAATCCCAGTGTGCGATGGTCAATATCGCTTGCAGCGTCAAACAAGAAGAAGAACAATATTGCTGGAATTTCTTGTTAAGTATTCGCTCTTATTTAAAATTTTATTTCTGATAATTACGATTAATATAAAAAATATCTCTTAATTCCTTGAAATTGTGCTTGTTTTTAAGCTCCTAATACACATTTCTTACAAATACTTAAAATTTCAACAACAATAATACTTAACACTTAAATATATTCTAAATAAGTAAATATTTGTTAATCATTTCAATTAAAACAAGTAACACAGTGTTAATCTTAGCACAGCTTCATCTAGTGTAAAAATCTTAGAAAATAAAAATTCTCAAGCAATAAAAATATTACAATACATATATGTACGTCGGTGTTCGTATGGAATAGTAGCTTATGTCGCGAAGCTGGCTTTAGTATAATGTGGCACATTCCCTTTATTCTTTAAACGACAAGGAATTTTTTGATGCGACTTAATAAGAATATTGTCTCGCTAGTATCGGAACTATTTCATCCACATTTATTTGCCAAAGTTCTTCAACGGCTCGGCGTCAGTGAGTCGTTCTCCATCGTATATATGCTGCGATGCCGCATTTCACTAAAGCCGGCCGTTTAACATAAGCTACTATTCCATACGAGCACAGATGCATAACAAAACAATTGGTTCACAGCCTACGCAAGTGACTCGGCATTGGAACACAATTCTCAAAGCGATTCTTGAAGAGCACAATTAAGTGGACTCGATACAAAATAAGAACAATGAATAAACAAAAAATTAAGACAAAAACAACAAAAAAAAAATTTTTTTTTCTTATCAGCCATTTACGAGTACAATGTAATATTTACAAAAAATATGTTTTAACAATATTGTATACTTATCAATCTACTTCATTGCATACGCACTTACATAAAGCTAACATTTCTTACATGAATATATATGTATTTACATACAAACAAACTTATTATCAATGGATGTTCAAGTATTCTGCTATCTCAGCGCTCGTATACTAAATATTTAATCATAAAATTCTTTAATTATCTCCACAATACTCTGATAAGTGCCAGTGGCAATACCTAATAGAGAAACCAATATAATCGCCATGTTTTTCAGGTAAACCCAAGTGGTCAGGGATTTGGGCACTCCAGCACGGATTACAAAATCGAGAATTACCGGTATTAATAGGGCCAATGACGTGGAGCAGAGTGCGCCGATAAGCGAAATGAAGAGTCCAAGTTTTGGGACAACGACAGCAACGCCAACTGTAAAGAAGAAAAGAGATAAACATTTTTTTTTTTTTATTGTAATTATGTACATATGTATGTATGTATATATGTAAATACGCGGCATTGATTTGATAGGTAACACGGAGTAACAGTATTGAGGGACCAATGCATTAGAAAATTCTTCAGAAGAAGAAAAATTCTTATTACAAATTTTCTAGTGGCTCGGTTAAGAAAGAAAGTTGCAATGTTTCCTTCGATATACAAGGAGCTTTAGGGATATATGCTTAATTCTATGCAAAATTAAAAAAAAAATAACAATTATTTTTGACTTTTATTTTATAAATCCAAAATAACAATTATTTTTGATTTTTATCTAAATATCTGTAAATACCAGTAAATTTTATTTTTTTGTTATACTATATGTCTTAGATAACAGATATTGAAGACTTTTATTTATAAAAGTCATGAATAAAAATCAGTCACCGACTTTTATTTATTAAGTCATACGTATAAAAGTCATTATCATTTTTCACAGTTGAGAAGGTGTTGGAGTACCAATGTTTTCTACAACTTATACAAATGACTTGTATAAGTATGATTTTTAAAATAAAAGTTAGTGACTGATTTATATTGATAGCTTCTATAAATAAAAGTTTTTAATAATTGTTATCTAAGATATATAATTTAAAAATCAGAAGTAACTGTTGTTTGCAGATTATTTAGATAAAATTCAAAAATAATTGTTATTTTGGATTTATGTATAAAATAAAAAATAGAACCAACTGTTATTTAAGGAGTAATTGCATTAAAGTTAAACAATAATTTTTATAGAGCGATTTGTTTAATAAAAGTTGTAACTGTTACGGTCCCTGTCAAGAAAAAGGCTTCTTTTACAGTATGGTAACAATCGCACTGCCAAAGATTCAAGAAGTACGAACATTTTAATAATTTTCATTAGAGGCCTCCCTCAACATGGCTATACGACAACGATCGTCAAATCCTTACAGCTGCTTTTTTGGGTCGAATGATGCAGCAATTGATGCCTTTAACTATAGCTCTAATTTTTCCAAATATAAGTTCTTGAAAGCTCCGTGATAGTATCGCGAGCTCCCACTACTCAGTAAGGCGCGAACACGTATTTCAATAAGGCCAAAGGAACTGGGTGCACTGTAAGCACTCCAGAGTTTGTCTAGCAACATAATACAACAAATATAAGGCAAGCAAAGAGGAAAAGCTTCTGCGGTAACATAACATTTACTACTGTAGCGGGAGTTCATAAAGCCTTCATATGCCCCGTAAGCAATCCGGTAATAACTCTGCAATATTTCTTTGATAGTCGTACAAAAAGCGAGTATAATTGCTTCCGCTGTTTTGGCACATAGTTTTAGTAGTTTGGAGGTGGTTAACTCATTCCATCTAGCCATGAACTGCCGTCGTCTATTTCGTTGTACAAGTGTTGGAGTAGTCTACGAATGGCTTACCGGCTGCGAAGGACGTTTTTGGATGAAATACCATATGACAAATCTGCTCTACGTAATTGCAAAAATCCTGCCACTGATAGATCGGTTATATAGCTTGAGAAATAATTTGTTTAAAGATAATTTTATCAAAGTTGATAAATCTGAATTTTAACAGGTTTTATTATACAAATACTCCTGTTATTCTTTTCCATTGATTTACAAACTTTTCCGCATTCTGGTTACACTTCAAGCTACTAAAGCTACTTCGCCAATGCGTTTTTCAACCCTTTCAACCCTGCCAGAAAATTTTTGGATATGAAGTTTTAATTATAGCTCATTCAATTTCGGTACAAGATGTGAGCGTGTGAAGTAGCTCAAAATTCGCACTGATTTTTGAGTTTTTTTTTTGTTGGTTGCAGGCGTTTCATATTTTCATCCACATAAAATACTTATGTATGTTCTAAAATACTCGTATTTTTATATGGAAGAAAAAGCATAACTTCGAACTTGCACCTTACCATACTGGAATTAAATTGGCTACAAAAATGCATGCACAAAACTTTTCTAAAAAATCTGATTAAACAATTTAAAATTTTGATAGCAAATTTTTGAAATTGGTTAAATTTTCGCAAATTTCGCATTTATTGACAAATTTTACATGGGTAAATTTCTTGATTTCAGCATTACGTAAATTACGATAATGTCAACATGCTTTATAAAATACTTTTTCTCTTCAAAATTTTCAAATCGCTAAAATGAGAACCCCGAAAATTAGAATAAAATGTGTAGTCAATTTAACCTTAGACTTTTTGCATTTTCGATACCGTGTGGAGTCCCATACTTTTTCCTAATGACAACAACCTTTTTTACAACAGTTTTTTTGCTCTCCTGAAAGGTACCCATTTCCACATTCGATAGTTTGACATGGTAGCGACAAAATGATCGAAAAAGTAAAAATTTAATTTTAACGGTTAAATTACGACTTTGATTATAAAAACTAAATATATTGTATGTCTCGACTTAATACTCACATGTGCACAAAACCATAAAGAAACGCAGCAATACTTGAAATGTAATTGGATACTTTTGTGCAGCGCCGCACGACTGCTTCGTAGGAGCCCAGATGATCTTGATTAGAATGAAGAATTGTATAGGGTAACCGAAAAATACGCCCATTGCGGCCACGATTTTAACGACCTGCGACAATCTGCAAATAAATAAGAAGGTAAATAATAAATATTCATGCATACTCGTATCGCTCCCCTACTCGCTATTTCAAACATACATTTCATTTGGATTCAAATTCAAGGTAATGCTGCCCTCAACCTCTTCACCCCAGCGCAGATATCCAATGGAGCCGGTGAAAATGAAGAGTGCCGTTACTATTACCATAGTTATATTTAGCACACCAAAGACTCTCGTGAAATTTTCTGGATTTCGCATTTTGTTGCGTAAAGGCAAAATCAGAGCAATTCCTTCGTATGAGAATAGCGCAGTGCCGAAGAATAATGCCATTTGGGAGGGACTAGTTATTAGATGGCGTTCACTTGGTGAGGGTAATGGATCTTTCAGCGCTATCCCGAGCGTGGCAAAGAGGCCGAAGAGTAACGCAAAATTGGCCAACATCGAAACTGGTGAAATATATTTGATATTGGTGAGCAGAGATGGTATCATTGCAGGCAGTAGGGTGATGGCCATTGTAGTAGTCGCACTGATGTCAATGCCATTTTGAACAAGAACCTGGAAGCAAAATAACATTTGTTCATAAAAGTTATGTACATACATACAGACATACAGTATCGGTCATAACTACAGCACGTCATTTCAAAATGATATTGTTTGCCACTTATGTTTATCCCAAGTAAGTAAGTAAGTTTGATTAAAAATCGATTGGGTATAGCAGCCTTTGGAGATTGTGAGATTTAGTTCATAACATTTTTAGTCTGCCTCACATAGCTGAGCGCAAATTTTTTGATTTAGCATTAATAAAAACGAAATTATGAAACAAATTATAATTTAAAACTTTAGATAATATAATGTTAATAATATACAATTGTTATGGACTTTGGATGCAATATAAAAAAAAATCTTGATAAAGAGGAATAAACTCCACTCAATTTCCCGATTTAATAAAAATTGATCCATCTTTTACCATTTGGTTCATTTTTTGGTTCGAAAAATAAATTGGAAACGGCGACCGTGTCTGTAGGAGCTTATCGGAACTCATATTCAGATTCAGCGGGTCGAAATAAATGTCGATAGGTGGGTCTTATTATTATTAATAGGCATGAGAAATTTAAGCTATTAGCCTATTTTGTATGGAAGACTTAGCCAATATAGTTATGCAATTATTAACTAAAATTTCCGATTATTATAAGCATAAATTGGATTTTTTTGATCACTTCACTAACCTGATGCAAATTTTCCGTAATGAAGACGAAATATATCGAACAGAAACCAAATTGTGTCACACACAAGAAAGTCTCCACAATTGTTCTCATCAGTTTAGACAATTTTCGCATGGGTGGTGGTCCACATTCAAACACTTTTTCCACTGTATCTGGATAATCAAAGAATTCAACGCCTGGCGCCTTCTCCACCGCCAGAATCGAGCCATCGATCAATAAGCGTTCGCAATGCACACAAATAACCGCCAGAATAGGCAGAAGCACTGTAGCGCCGACTAGACCACCATTCTTGAAGCAATCGCCCATGGCGAAAAGGCCAGCGCCCACATTACCTTTGAAGAGATGAGTAGCCGTTTCTAAGTTACTGCAAAAAACAATAAATAAATAACAACAAAAAAATATATACATATATGTACATTAGGCTGCACCACCCAAAAAAAGTTGCGGTTTTTCCGCCCGGATTACAAAATCTATTATATTTCAAGACGTCCACAAATATATTTCGGAAAAATATTAAGATTTACGTGAGCTGGACGTGATTTGAAAATACCTCCAAAAATGGAGTTTTTTATGAATAAAAATAGTTTCTTAAATAACTTTTTGAAAAAAATGCCCTCAGATGACGAAACAGATTAAACTTAAAAAATCTTCATAAAAATATTTAAAAATCTTTTTTTCAACGGAATCGTAATAATGAGCTTTTTGATGCTGTTTTTTTTTTTACTTTTTTCAAAGATAGATTTACGAAAACTTAAATAAGTCGGCCAAAACTATTCTGATTTAGACTTATCGGGTATCAGTAGAATGGTATTTTCCCACTAATTTTTATTTCTTACCTCATTCACGTCCCGATTTTCAAGTCGGTCTAACTCACGTAAATCTTAATATTTTGGTGAAAGTTTTAAAATATAATAGATTTTATAGTTCCAATAGAAATTCAGTACCGACTTTTTTTATGGGGTGTGATGCAGTCTAATGTACATACATACATACATATATGGAAAAAAGTATTCATATTAAAAATTCGAGACATTGAACATATCAAAAATTAAATTATGCAGTTATTCACATACATACATACATTCGTGTATTTGCATACGTGCACATGTACATACATATGTACATATGTAAGCCATGGAAAATTTTATACTCGACTTGATATGGCTAGTGCCTGAAGTGTCTCTATATGTTTGCGTATAATACATAGTATGTGTATTATAATAAATAAAATTGCGAAAAAGTGCATACCTTGTGCGGTGAGTCTTGCTAACACCTGTTCCCTCAACATCTGCACCCAATTCGTTGGTGTCTTTGCCATTTTTCACTTCCAATGTTACGCCCATATTCTGTTACTTTTACGCCTCACTGTTTATTTTGGTTTTGCAAAACTTATTTATTTTTGCTCACAACTTATTTTCGTCAAACTTAATATCTTTGATTTATTTTTATTGTGCTATTAACTGCGAAATTCTGCTTATGCGTACTTAGTTTAATGTTGTGCTTTTTGCTTGTTTTTGACTAGTCTGATCTTTGACGCCCTTGACTGTGTTTGAAGTGAATAACGGTCAAGACAGTCATGAACCAACTGAAAAAGAAAACATAGAAATAAATAAAGCATTTGTGGTATCGTTTTTTGATTGAGTGACTTTGCTTAGAATTGAGTGGGGTTTTAAAAGATGCAATGCGCAAATTCCATCTAGCGTTTTTACCGGTACTTTACGGTGGATAAGAAATAACTAAACTTCCCTACATATTTCTTAAAATATATTACTATACTTTTTAATCAGTACAAAAAAACTGTGGCCTGGAGATATTTTAAAATTTCTCAGATAATGTTTCACAACAAAATATGTTATTAGCAAAATTGTTCAAAATTCGAAATAAATTAGTGCAAGTGAGCGAATTATGTTTCCGATGGAACCTTTTGGAGCCATTTAAATTTTTTGGTTATAGTCACTTCTTTTTTTTTGTACAACTTAAAAACTGGAATGACGGCTCAATGCACTAGAGATGTCAGTTTGTCAGTTTTCAAAAAACAGCGATGCAGGATCGATGTTTTTATGAACGATGTTGCATCCCTACACATGTGTGTCACTCTCAAATTCAATGTAGTTGCTACGTAGCAACTAGGGATGTTCATTTTTTCGCTTTTTACGATCCCTGGATTTTCGGGATTTCGTTATCACAATCCCGGGATTTATTCATTACTTTTCAACAACTTAAATCGAAAAAATTGCTTCTATAGTGTTTGAGAAGCTCTTATACCATAAAATAAATAGTAAATAAATTGGTTTGAATCGACTTTTTTATTTAAAGTGGCGTTTTTATTTTGTCCCTCATACGTCAGGATTTATTTTAAAGGACTTTGCAATTTTAATGATATGATTAATTGCAAAAATTATTTAAAAAAATGCAATGCAGAATAAAAATATGGATACCAAATGAACGAGGAAATTTTTTTTAGAATTTAAAATAATTAAAATTTTTGGATTCACAAGGTCAAATAGGTAATAAGTTAGGAGGATGAAATTCGGGGATGTTATCGAGTTTATATAAGTCCTTAACATATTTTTTTTTTTTCAAAAACAAATATTGCTAAATTTCAAGGATCAAATTTTAAAAGGACATTTTCATTACTTACCAGTCCTTATGCACCAAAAAATTCAATCTGTTTAAATTCTTCAGTATTTCTTCTTTAATTTTATACCCATACTTCTCTAAGCACATTTCACTGAATTTTTTAAATCATTGGGAATTACTGACTTCAGAGTGAAAAACTAAAAACGTAATTTTATTATATTTGGCCCATGTTTTCGCGAATATATTGATTTTTGTGTGTAATATTTACTATCGCAGGGTGTTATATCTATAATGAGCTAGACATTTATAAAAAAAAATATTATTTATTAAATTTAAAAAAATATATATGCAGCCAAGGTCAAGAAAAGTATAATTGTCATTAGTGCAAGTTACAAACCCGAAAATTTCGGGATTTATTTGCCAAGAATCCCGGGATTTTTGGAACCTCAAAAAGGCCAGGATCCCAGGATTGACATTCCTAGTAGCAACGGAAAACTACAATAATGTTATTTGTAGTATCTATACCACATGTGCGTCCCAGGCATAATCGAGTAATTGTTTGATATGTATAAAACCAATTAATTGCTAAACAAGAGAGAACAAACATGAAATGGCGGTTTTGTCTATAGACGATAGCTGCTCGACCATCGATAGAACTATCGTAAGACGCAAACGATCGATAGTCGTCTTGATAGTATCGATAGTTTGCCAGCCCTGTGCCATTTTTATTTTACGACTGCAGATGTCGCAATTACCATACAAATATACTAGGTATGCATAAATCAACTTGAACGATATGCACTCTTATCTTTCTTTTGTGACAAGTGATTGACACAGGAAAGATATAGCAAACTGTCTATATAATGCACTTGACTTAGTGACAAGGAAAAATAAACAAAGTGCTTTGTAAGATTGGTCTTTACCGATTTGTCTATGCTAATTTGCCGCGCTTACCATTGTACCCAAGTGTTACGTTTGTTTTTTTAAAAATAGGGAATTCCTCTAAAAGCAAATGATTCTCGAAATGCTTAAAAGTTAAAAGACTTTTACATAAGTGTCAAAATTTATATGGGAATAATATGAGAGTTGTTTGCCCAGAAGAAATACATGGGTAGAGATGTACATAACTTATAATTATCATAATAACATTACAAACACCATTAATCTGTAACGGATCGATATGAACAAGTGATTTTTAAGCAAAAACACAACTGAAATTGGGACCACCTTGAGGTACATACCACCTTTCCAAAAAAAAAAAGAATACGAAATCGGTTGCGGTAACATACATACATAGTCAAATAAACCCAACGCGAATAACTAAAATAAAAACTCGAAATGCATTTTTCTCGTATTTTTAAGTTATGAATTACTTCCAGCAAATGAGCGAATTGTATGTGCCCGATTTATTTGCTTTAAATATTTAATTAAATAACTTATACCTACTTATAAAGGAATTTTTTTCTGAAGAGATTTTAATCATTATCGTGTATGATCGCTAATTGGAGTACGCATTTTTTTGATTCAATTAACATGTTAAATTAGTGGTGATAAATTATACGGAGGAATTTTTATGACGAACATTGTATATTGCTCCAGTTTAACTGCCATAAGCTCATTACATACATACATACATATGTATGTATATAGGTATTACTCGTGCAAATTTATGCCAACATACATATATACATTAAACTTCTGCATGAATACAGTAGACTTGGATATTCTACTTCATATACAAAACACTCAGCGTTCTGAAGTTTGTAATTTATGAAAATTCATTTCGTTTTAAATTTTCCGCATACCTTCAAATGGAAGAATGTGAATGAATGAATGAAAAACATTTAAATCATTCAAACTCATTTTGGTTATATTTTTTTTTACAAACAAATTTTTTCATATAAAAATCTTGCTGTTCTATACACATGAACGCATGGTACTGGGAATTGAAGAATCATTTAGAGCAAATTGAAACTGTGCATATAAAGTTGACAACAAGAAAATTGACACATATTTTTCCGCTATTTAAGAATGGACATACATATCGGGCCCTAACCGCCAAAATAACGTAAGCGACATTTTTTCAAAACTTTATTCTTGATGCAGAAATATTCCTAGAAAATTTAGAAAAAAATTTCGCTTACGTTATTTTGGCGGTTAGGGCTCGATATGTATGTACTCGAACATTTAAGGTTGGGTGAAAAAATATATACGTACCCAGCAGAAAAAAAATTATCAATTGATAAAAAAATAAGCCGCTTGTAGTTAGATTTTTTGCGGGATTTCTATAAAATATATAACTTGTAGTTAGCTACAAGAAGCTCACTTGAAACTAGTTGACTAGTAATGCAGGAGTAATAGAGGAGATTGTTTGCTTTAAACGCGTTTCTATTTAAATAAAGGGAGATCGAAATTTCATATTATCATTTTGAAGTTATGTCTGACGGAGTTCAAATATGGGACCACCTACAACAGAATATGAAAACAAGTAAACAAAAATAAAAAAATAAAAAAAATATTTTGGTTTTCCTATTGATATTTCATGTCAAAAAAAAAATAATAATTAGTTACAAGTTAGTTACATCAAATGCGGAGGAAAACCACCCTTGACTATTTCGCGGCCATCGCCATAGAAATATAGTTAGCTTCGTTAAAGAAAATATACAGATAATAAGTGACTTTTAGCTCCTTCCTAATCAATTTAAAGTTAGCTTATAGTTAGATACATTTCCTGCAGGGTATGGATTGAATTCGATGGTCGCTGTGAATGATTTTTCGTCCATATTTTTTTTATCTCTACGAGTATAATGATAATAGTAAAATTTTGTAAGTTATACTGGTATAATAACTAAAAGAAGTATGTACTATTGACAGCCAAAATCATGCTCCTTTAATCACCTTTTCTATGGCCGGATTGCAAAATACAAGTTGGGGGGTTTTAACGGGACACTGTCTCACACCATCTCACGCGTTCAAGATAGGACTTACACAGAGTAAAGTATGCATGGCAGATTTCGGAAGATCAGGATTGAGCTACTAGGCTGTTGTTACTTTTAATAACTAAAATAAATAGCAGATCAAAGCACAACAAATTACTAAAACTCGCTAAAATATGAATTATGACTACTAATTATACATCAACGTTGCATTGTTGCATCGCCCCGATGTACCCAGGCAACGTAAATATAATTATATTTATGCATTAAAATGATTTAAACCAATTCTATTTTTACCCAATGACTCTATTTTTCAAATGTTGATTACAAGTAACAAAAATGTATGTATGTAGGTGTGTATGGATGTGGGAAGCATCGTATATTTACAAGTATGGAATCCCATGATACAAAAAAGAAGCTAGTTTCATTACTACTATTTTTTTATTATAAAGCAGATGTTTGACATTTCTCCAGATGAAAACATTAAGCATAGCTTTGCCACATCGTAATTTTAGCTCAGCTAATTATTAGCTTTTTTAATTCTAAAATAAATCAACGATCTCAAGATTTATAAAAAATTTGTCTTCAAAAAATACGTTTCAAAGCATCCCTGTTTATATCATAATTCAAATGCAAATTAGAGGATAAATTTTGATGCAAAAGATTTTCCGCGATATTCATCATAAAAATTTAGCATCTTACTTGTCCGTATGTCGCTCTGGAAAGAAATATATTTTAATTTATATGTTTTCTTAAAAATAAATGCAAATTTACCTATTTTTTCCACCGGCAGGCACGAATATGATATTAAAAACAGAAACAATGACAACGAATTTTACACACATTGTTGTATTTTAGCGCAAAACGATAAGTTTCACAAATATTTTAAATGATTGCCTGCAACATACACATTTATCGTTATTATTGGAAATGCAAGACTTGGCATGCATTTTTAATTTCTTATTTAATCAGTTCCAATGAATATAAACGCATTTTTCTAAAATATTTCTCAATTTACATTTCAATTACGTAAAAATCAAAACCCAACAGAATTCTACATGTTAAGTGC